TTATCTTATCTTATCTTATCTTATCTTATCTTATCTTATCTTATCTTTAAACATGGTTTGGACTGGGGCTGCTGATCTGAGCTTCTTCAGTCAAGGCAACAAGCTAGCTCTAAGAAACTGTAGATGTCATTTAAATGTAGGAAAGGTTGGGACTAAACCCACATTTCTCCACCATTCAATTAGAGCTGAAAGATCCTCTATGAGGCAAAGCTCAAAAGCTCCAAAAAGAAGGATTGTTTCAACTATATTGTTAGATTTAAACATGGTTTGGACTGGGGCTGTTGTTCTGAGCTTCTTCATTTGAGGCAACAAGCTAGCTCTGAGAAATAGTAGATGTCATTTAAATGTTGGAAAAGTGATTCCTGAGGCCACCTCCTCTGTTTCCAGTGGTTGGAATTAAATGCTTCAGTACAGCTTATAAACCCACATTTATCCACCATTCACTTAGAGCTGAAGGATAAAAAGAAAGGGAAAAAAATAAATAAAAAAAAGAGCTGAAGGATCCTCTATGATTAATGAGGAAAAGCTCCAAAAAGAAAGATTGTTTTAACTATATTGCTAATTATTGTCTCCACTGTGAAATCAATAAAACTTATCTTATCTTATCTTTAAACATTGTTTGGACTGGGGTTGTTATTCTGAGCTTCTTCATTCGAGGAAACAAGCCATTTATCCTCATGTGGCTCGTAAACAAAACCTTCAATGTTGTGAATTCAAAATGTGTTCTCTGACAAACAGTAGATGTCATTTAAATGTTGGAAAGTTGATTCCTGAGGCCACTTTCTCTGTTTACAGTGGTTGGGATTTAATGCTTCAGCTTATAACCCCAGATTCATCTACTATTCACAATCACTTAGAGCTGAAGGATCCTTTATGATTCAAGAAACAAATCTCCAAAAGGAAGGATTGTTTTAACTATATTGTTATTTATTGTCTCCCCTGTGAGATCAATAAAGCTTATCTTATCTTATCTTATCTTATCTTATCTTATCTTTATCTTATCTTATCTTATCTTATCTTATCTTATCTTATCTTATCTT